GGTGGAGGGGAGGGAGAAGGAGGGCTAATGGATAGGAAAAAGAAGCTTAGTGGAGGGAAAGAGTGCTGCTGAGAGAGAGAGAGAAAAAAAAATGAAAAAGATTTATTTAAATAAAAATGAAATTAGATTGTTTAGTTGCTACACAAACTGAATTAACTCTATTTCTTTAATCAAATGGGTATGTTATTTATTGAAGTAGACTTTGTATAGTTTTAATGAAGAAGGTTATTCTTTTACTTTTTTTTATAGTATTATTTTGTCTAACTAATACGGGATTAACTTGTAATGTTATATAGATGATAGGATGATTATCAAACATAAATTATTATATGATCTTACTTATTTTACAACTATTTACAATGTAATTTTATGTAAAAAGTTTGCGTTAAAAAAGGTTAAAAGACACAATTTAACCCTTTTTCATATTTTTGACCTTTTCGACCAATTATGTAACAACTTTTATTATACATAATGAACCTTTTCTGATACTCATTTATGATTGACAATGTTCTTGTCATAATTTGTGAAGTTGGACTCAATTAGATCTGTTATAATAAGTTATGTGACTAGGTGAAATATAAAAAAAAACGTTGATACAGCCTTGTATTTTGAGCAATAATTTTTTTTTTCAAAATGAGAGTAGAAAGAACGTATGAGAACGAGCAAGAAAATGAGAAAAAAAAAATACAGTTAAGTGAAAAATAGACGTACTAAAAACATTCAATTAGTGAGAAAAAACCACCCAAAGGATGAAAAAAACAGTAAAAATGATATAAAAAAAAGATGAAAAAAGAAACAAGTATAAAAAATGGGCAAAAAAAAACACATTAATATAAATCTCCCACTATAATATATACAAACAATAATAAATATTTATAATAAAAATATTATATATAAGTTAAAATCAAATATATTTTGTTATTGTTTTAATTTTTTAATTTATAAACTGTAAATAATATCATATTTATTTATTTTACTAAACACTTTCCTATATATTACTTTAAGAATAATACTTGGGTAATATGTTGAGAATCTTTTACTGTACACATACAATAAATCAATAGTCGATAAAGAGTATCATAAAAAAATTAATCACATATTTATGTCTAAATCTTAAGAACTAATACACAAGTGTAATAGCAAAAAAAAATCCCAAAATAATACAATTTATATATATAATGATATTATAATTATAAAATATTTTGTTCAAAATTACTTTTTCATTATGTACTATAATTTTTTAAATAAATTTTAATTTTAATTTTATTTCTTAATTTTTAAAGTTAATCTCTTTAATTTATTTATACTTAACAACAAATTATTGAACATGAATAATAAATTTTTTTACTTATTTTTAATTTATAATAAAATATAATATGATTAACATTATTTATTTAAAAATTGTTTTTATTAAATAATATCTAAAATGATAATGTATTAAATCAAAAGGTTTTTTTCAACTTTCACAATCTTAACAGTGCATGGCCGTGCATGCGTATAAGCACAAATATGCTTATAAGTTATGAATCAGTGCTAAGACTATGTGTGTAGTAGTAATTAACTCAGGTTGTTTCATGCGAGCATTTGTTTAACGTTACAAACCTGACGATCCTATTGTATTATAGTGGAAAAAAGACATGAGTCTCAAATGTTATTCCTTTGATGTGTAATTGTCTTCCTGACAACTTTTCCTCCACAACACCTGTCACATCACAAGGATTAATCATAGAAAGAGAATTAAAATAAAGAGAAGAAAAGAAAATTTAAGCTATGAATCTTGAGACTTGTTAGTGGGTGGTTTGGGTTTTTGTCTTTTCTTCTCCTTAGATTGTTTGTTCATTAGCCTACTTCTTAGAATTCCATGCTTCACAAAATTTAAGGGAGGAGAAGTAGTACTCACAAAATTACAGGACTCTTGGTTAGAAGGGTACTTTAAATAATTAAAGACTTGAAACGCAACTTCCTTGTCATATAGCCTTAAAGTGAGTTTTTCTTCTTGAACATCTATGATGGCCCTTGTAGTAGCTAAGGAAGGTCTCGCCCAGATAATGGAGACATCATCATCCTCTTCTATGTCAAGTACTACAAAGTTTGCGAGAAATATGAACTCTTCAACCTTCACAAGCACATTCTCCAGTATATCTTTAGGGAATGTGATCAACCTATATGTTAACTGAAGTGACATGAAGGTTGGTTTCAGTTTATGCATCCCAAACTTCTTGGAAACAAAATAAGGCATAAGGTTAATGCTGACTCTTAAATCACATAAGACTTTATCAATGAGTTTTTTCAATTGTGTAAGGGATAGTAAAACTTCCTAAGTCCTTAAGCTTAGGAGGAAACTTTTTAAAGACTATACTGGAGCACTTTTCAGCGAGCTTCACAGTTTTATGTACTCTCAACTTCCTCATATTGGTCAAAATCTGCTTGAAAGACTTAACATATTTAAGCATTTTGGAGATAGCATTGATGAAAGGTATATTGATGTGCATCTTTTCTAATAGGTCTAAGAATTTTTCGAACTCCACATGGTAAGGGGGTTGGCCCTACAATCTTTGTGGGAAAGGTATTCTAAGCTCGTAGGCATTTAGTTGCGTAGGAGATTCTTCTTTCTTCTTTTCTTTAGATTTTGCGCTTGAAGCACGACCTTGCTCATAGGGATGCACGATTGTGCTTGTTGAATCGTCATAGGCGTAATTCTCGTAGCATAGTCATAATTCCTTTAGAGCAAGGACGTGCTCATTAGAACACAAGGACGTATTTGCAGGGGGAGCATGGATGTGCATGTACCTCTGTTCTACGATTCTTGCAAGTTTTTTTAACTTCTAAAGGTGATGACATTGCATTGCTTCCTTAGATTAGGTTCAAGTTGAGTTGGTAATGTTCCCAACATTCTTTGACTTAGAAGATTAGAAATTTGTTCTAATTTGATTCAATCTATGAAGACTATGCTCTCATCTCTAATTTGATCTCTACAAACCTTTTACCATCCCTTTCAATATGTTGCTCCAACTTAGATTCAAGCTCAGTCATCATCTTATCAAAGTAATACATATATTGTATCATTGTCTCTTGAAATTTGGATTAAGATCTAAGAGTCTCGTTCCCTTCTAGTCTTGCTCCCTGATTTTGTACATGAAGAGAGCAATAGACATTTGAATTTGGCTTCCAAAGCCATTTTTTCAAGAGTTAGAAGGGCATGTTTCGTCATCTTGAATTATAATTATTGTTCATAAAATTAGCTTTCTCTTTACTTTTTGTAAATGGATATTTATTGTTATCATGGCCTAAGGAGTCCCAATGCTCATATAGAGAAGTTGCAGATGATATTGTTGCTCTTTGCTAAACATATTGGAGCGGTCTCCTTCTTTTTGTCTATAAAAGGATTAGTTGTGTGCCACTTAAAAATAACAGAAGTCATTGATGAATCTACATTTTACTAAATTTTTATACATCATTTATTACTCTTTATAGAAAAGAATAGACTTAGATAGTGAAAATAAGATGAATATTCCAATTAGGCTAAATAATATAGGTTTCTTAGTTTTTGGTTAATTTACATTGATTTAGATAGTTTATTTTACATGTTTTGATCATTTGAATAATGTGGCAGGAATCCCCATGCTTATTTTGAAGAATTATTGGATTTTGAAGAATTTGAGGTGAAAGTAACTACTTTCAAAATTGATAGTGACAACTACAGTAAGCCATTTCCAGCAAAGGGACCAAAGTGATCACTTTCAAAGCTTAAAGTGACAACTACAGCAACCCAAAATCCACTAAACCTGCGCGTGGTTACTATGAATATTCATAGTAGTCACTCCAGAGCATGCAGAATTGAAGGTGCTGCGCGTAGTTACTATCAAAATTCATAGTAACAACTCCAGAGAGTCCAAAATGTCTCAGTGCTACGCGTGATTACTATGAATATTCATAGTAATCACTCCAGAGAGGCAAAACCCAACTGATGCTGCACGTGTTTACTATGAAAGAATGAGAGTAACTACTTTGGAGGGTGCTAACTTTAGTATAAATAGATTTTTAACAAATTAGGGTAGGGGGTTCTTACACTTTTTGAACCTTTTCTCTTCTTTACTCAATTTAGGATATTTTTCAGAGCTTAGGGCAACCTTGGGTGACAGCCAAGGGTCCAACCTAGGGTTTGATTTCTCATTTCTCTTGCTTTTATATTAATGTTAATGAGTTTTCTACATTTCCAAACTGCGTTTTTGACCCCCATTTCCATGGAGGGCTAAATTTTGTGTAATCCTCAGTAAGTTCGCATAGATTCTTGAGTTCCTTGAATTTAATGATAATATAATTCCTTTCTTTTCATGAATTACTTCTTCATTGTCTCTTGAATTGAATTAATGGTGAATGAGGGGAGTATTGCTCAATTAACCCTAATTTCATTTTAAGGAGATTCTAAACTAGGGATTGCTTAATCCTAGGTTTAATTCTAAGGTTGTGTAATTTTGGGATGAGAGATTAGAGCCTAACAAATTGCGTAATTTCGTTGGGACTATAAGGTTGATTTTCGCTTGTTAAATTAACCTAATTCATGGAAGAGAGGATGAATGTTAAATCTTGAGTGGAATGAGGATAGAATCTTTGTGGATGAAATAAGGATTGCTGCTTTCTATTGTTTGAACTAATTAAACTCGTTTGTTTGTTACTCTTTATTTTGATTTGAAACCACAAAACCCCCCCACATTTTAATTGCTTGTTCAATTAATGCCTTCAACATGTTTAACCAATGTTCACGGGAGACAATCTAGGGTAACCCTAGTACTACATTAAATTGTTTAAATTTTGATGAGGATTTGCTACAAATCTTTTAAACACCTCAAAATAAACCATCATCAGTCATCTCATCTACCAATTTGTATGCTTTGTCTATTTCTTCACTCATGAGGATTCCTCCAGCTACTACATCAACTGTGGCCTAATTGGAGACTTATAAGTCACTATAAAATATTTCTATTTGTCTCTACACAAGAAAATTATGGTGAGGACACCTTCTCAAAAGTTCTCCAAATCGTTCTCATCATTCAAATAGGGTTTCTAACTCATACTACTAAAAATTAAAAATTTCTACCATAAGCTTAGTAGATGTAGATGTAGAAAAATGTTTTTCCAGAAATTATTGAGTCGGATCTTCCCATGTTGTGATAAGGCCTGTTAGTTCTATGGCAAACCATGTATTAACCTTTTTCATGACAAAGAATGAAAAAAGGAGAAGTCTAATAACATCAGTGGTGACCTCATTGTACTTTACAGCATCTGTGAGTCAAAAAAAATTTGTTAGATGGAGATTAGAGTCTTCATTAGAAATTTCTCCAAATTGTGTAGAGTTATTAACTATAATAATCAATGTTGACTTCAACTCAAAATTGTTAGCCTTCACATTAAGGGCTACAATGCTTCTAGAAGCACCTCTAGTAGTGGGTGTAATATAATCTGGAATTGATCTCCTTCCCTCTACCATCTTTTGTTTTCTCAACTCTTTCTTTTGTCTTCACACAGTTCTCTCAGTATCTAGATCAAATGAGCAAGTTGTAACAGACTTAGAACGAGTAAGCATACACTAATTTTTTTTATAAAATTAAAAACAAATAAAACAGAATAAAAAAATAAAAAAATATAAAAACAGTTAGAATAAAGTAAAATAAGAGTTGTTCAAATCAATTAAATACGGGATTTTCTTAATATTGAAAAAATAATTCCCGACAACGGCACCAAAAACTTATTCGTGGGCAAGTGTATTTGTTAAAAAGTAATATAAGGTTCTAAAATAAGTTTATGAAATATCATCTTACAAAAATTATTTCCAATTACTAAGAATTTCTTAATTTAATTATTTGAACTTAAAAGATGCAAAATTAAATAAAACAAGGATTTAAATATAAAATTAATTAAAAAAATTAAAATAGCACAACCTCTAACAATAAATTGATTGTGAAGAACCTAGGGTGTATGATTTAACCTTTACACTTCTCTATGTTCTCTTTTAGATTAATTCTAATTCTGGTTTCCTTATTATTGCCAACCATTTATACTAAATCTATTAATACCAACAATCATGCAATGTTAACAGTCTTTTTTTTTCTAAACTATCACCTATGATGATCAAACAAGATAAAAGAAAGAGAAAACATAAAAAGCCTATAAGCTGTTAATTGAATAGCGATTTAAAGAGAAGAACTAAGCTTGGTTCACCTAATCATTTGTTTCATTTTATCTTATAGATCCATTAACTATATGTGGTAGGTTGTCTATGATATAATTAATTATGATATGTTTACGAGTTGTCAAATCCAGACATACAAATATAGCACAATAGGATAAATACCAATCAAGAAAAGAAACATAAAATTATTATTAACCATAAATATCACATAAAGTCGTATAAAGAATTCACCGTAACTCTAGCTATGGATTTAGTTAGACATAATATAAAAGAAAACTAAAATAATACTAAACAAATCCATAGAACTTGAAAAGTAAATGCAAACCAGAGGAGTCTCCAACGGAGAAATAATGAGAAGAGTTCTTGATCTGACGCGCTCCTGAAACTCTAATAGTCGTCAGCGACTGGTGAATGCCTTGATTGAGAATGTGAAAGAGATGTGTAAAAGGCATAGAAGGGATGTGATAGAAATAAGATAAAAAACAAGATGTATAAAGTGTGCAAAAATAGAATGATGAGTTGCTGCCCCTAAGGTCTCTTTTAATAGAGCTTGAAAATCCTAAAATTTCTTCAAAGTTAGGCTTCTCTCAGGCGAGCATGGCTATGTATGTTCTCTAAGTACCCCCGTGCTGGCTATTGGATCTAGATCCTCCCTAGTTTTTTAAGGAACTACAGCCTGTAGTCGAAGTTAGTTTAAGCAAAACAAAATTCGTTTAAGCGAATTTGGCAAAAAGTGATTTTGCTTAAGTCACAAAATTCGTTTAAACCAAAACTCTAAACTACAAAAAAGTTAAGAAACATTTGTACAAGATCATGTTATCACACTTTATGGTCATACCACAAAAACTTAAGTGTTTCAAAACATGTAATAATATAACTATTTTTGAACCAATTTTTCAAAGTTATCATTCTTATAACCATTATCATTATTCTTAACAATTTAACTTGATTGTAAATGGTTCTACCTCACTAGTGTTTGACACAAGTATCACAGTAGATATTATGTAACACCTTCATTTTCTTTATTCTACTAAACAAATTTTTTATGGCGGATAGAAATAAATTCATTTCTATTCATGGATTTAATAATAGAATAAAGACAAAATTTTATATTTCCTTCTCATGAAAGTTTCATATAAATACAGAGTCAAGCTTCTAAGGGTAAAACTTTGAAGCTTTGAAATAATCAAATAAAACATAAATTTACTTCTAGCAAATCATTTAGTTCATTTTAAATACATATAAATTTTGAATTTCTACTAAGAACATTTCCAAAATATTCTTTACAACCAAAATTTGCTCAAAATTTAAATTCTAAAATCTGTCATTAAAGTCATTGACAAACTTAGGTCAACACAAATTAAAATTAGATAAAACAATACAATTTCTCAAATGGCTTTAGTCCCTAAAGAACAATCTTCCTTCCAATACCCCTGGATTATGATCCTAGGACAGACCAAACATCTTTATCTCTTCACTTTCATTACCTGAAAATATTAGTAAGGGTGAGTATCTCCCGCCCCACTAAATCTCTCGTTTAATACAAGCAAAGTACTTACATGTATATACCGTACCAGGAATATTATTTAACATGAATTAAATTAGCAATAACACCTAAATATCCAAGTTGCCATCGCAAAGGAGCACACACGGTACAAACAATCAATCAGGTTCACAACTTCAGATCACACATCTTTTTACTAATCTGCACGTTATATACATGTATTATATCACAACAATCAAACATGTCACAACACATGTGTCCTAATCGCACCTGTCGATGTATTACAACACATATATCATAACAACATCAACCAAAATGTTACAATGCATATATTATGACTGCGCAATTTCTATACCACTTCATACGCATCACACTTTCACTTTTATTTTAATTTCATGTCAATGCCCCTGAGATCCCTTAAGGACTTCACAGTTTAGATAATCGCCAGTTAGCCATAACAACACAGATACATGTGTGCCACCCAGCCCTTTTTAGCAAAGGTATAGTCAAGAGTCTCGTTGGAAAATGAGTGTGTGGCCTGTGAATGCTTTCATTCTCAGCAAATCATTGTGCACTTATTTACACTTAACATTCACCACCTTCATTTCCCCAAGATTTCCCAAATCTTCTTCGGAATTTATACCCTAGTGTATCTTTGTAGCTATCTAAACTACCCACCAATATTTCTCATCCTTTTTCACACCCTTTTATAGGGCAATGTGTCATAATACGTAGTCTTATCCACATAGCTTGGTGCATTACAATACATTTATTATGAATACCCCCATTAGTCGTACCACAATACCTGTATTGCAATCACGTCTATTCATCCAGTCTGACTCCCATATTATGATCACTTTTTTCAGCCTTCCACCGTCGTGTCACATCACACAAAAAAGCTTCTCTTTATTTTAAGAACAGTCAAACACTTGCATCAAATCATAGGTTCACTTATTTAGCATACTTCAACTATTAGGCAACATATATAATAATTATATCATTTATCATGGAAATATCATTAATCAACTCATTCATTCACAATACTCTAACACTTTTTCATTACAACCTAGTTCAACGAATATCAACATACCACAATAATTTACAAACACTCGACATGAAAAATCCCCAAACAATTCATACATCACACAGTGTCGGAGGTCGGACACCTCCAGATTCAGCCTAATCGCACAACTTAATTTACACATTTTCTATAATAATAAAGTCATCTATCCTAAGGTCTAGTATAATCCCTTATTAACAACATGCTCGTTATTCCAAAAACATCAAATCACCACTCTTAACCACTTTCAAGGAATGTTTATTTCAGAAAATCATAATATTTCTCAAGGATAGTTTTGTTTAGGCTCTTTACTACAAGTTATATTTAGATAGTTATGAAAATAAGTAAGGGTTTCTCAATTCATGCTACCCAAGAGAAGTTAGGGTTTGGGATTTACTCCCCTTACCTCAAATGAAGACCTAACACGCTATAATAGCAGAAAAACGTTCCCCACACGGTGCTTCGCCCCTAAAACATGGAAAACCTCCATGAGAACCAAGAAAATGGAGAAAAGGATGCAATACCAAAACCCTAACTCATAAAACTTACCTCTAGACATCTCAAACACCACCTCAACTTTCAATCTTACTCACAAACGATTTTGGAGGCAATTTAATCGGTAGAATAAAGTTTTGAGTCAAGAGAATTAAAGAGATTTCAAAGGAGGAGATGAGAAATAAAATTTTTCAAATTCTAAACTCTTCAAATACCCCTCTGATCGTGACACGCTCCCTATAGTGAGACACTCTTGTTACAGTGACGCCCCTTGTCACTGTAGCAAAAATCTCAGAAGAAATTGCACCCTGATTTCTGTAGAATCTCGCTACAGCGAGACCCTTTCGCTACAACGAGATTGCACCCAGAAATGCATCCCTCACTCTCGCTCTCTCGCTACTCGCTATAACGAGAACGCCATAGCAGCACACACTTAGCCTATATCTCAACCAATTCCAATCCAAACACAAGTTCATATCACATTTCAACTCATTACATAGTCAAATACACATTCAAACATCAATTCATACATTCATATTAATAATTAAGCAATATTACAAAATTCAGGACGTTACATATTACATTTTGAATATTTTGTAGGATGATATATGTAAGGGTCTTTGATATCTAGGTAGCCATTGATGAGAAACAAAGGTTCCTCAAGTTTTCTGCAGTTTAAAGAAGAAGATGAAATTTTGAAATATTTTTCAATTTTGGCTTTCACTTAAACAAAAATCACTTTTTTACTAAATTCACTTAAGCAAATGTTTTTAGCTTAAGCGAATTTAGATTGCAAGCTTCAGTTCCTTCCTAAAATGCAAAAGATCTAGATAAGTTGGCTGCTAGGGTCTGGGCATG